TCCCTATATATCTAAAAAACATTTTTTTGTTATCCTTAACTTGGGATGCCATCCTCAGCTCCATGGTAGCTTTGGCCTGTCTAACTGCCTCCCTACAAGCGCGAGCAGAGGAGGTATACTCCTCTTTAGTAATCTCTCCCCGTTTCCACTTTTTATATGCCCCCCTTTTAGCCCGTAGACTGCTCTGGATTTCTCTGGTCAGCCAAGGAAGCCTCTTGGCCCCTGTCCCCCGTTTTCCCCACATCAGGATCATATCCCTCTGTGCCTGAAGGATCATTTCCTTAAGGCACAGCCTATGTCTCCATCCTCCCAGGATAATACCCTAACCAAAATAACGGAGGTAGGGAGACCCTCCACGTGGAGCCAGAAGGACACAAAGCAGGAGAGAGCACAACATTGTTAGTGTTTAGAGCACTCAACCGGGAGAGTGGGTTCAGGTCGTAGAACAACTGGTTCAAGCCATTTGGTACCAGCATCAGTGGTCAATGAAATTATTCTCAGTTTTGATGCACCTTTAACAGCAGTGACCATAGGCAATGCATGGCGGGGGAGGGGGGGGTGCATGTGCACCCAATGAGAGCAGTGGTACCCCTGCTGAGAGCGAGTGCTCTCGGCTTAGGCAATGGGCAAAGAGGGCAGGCGGAGCACTGGTGCCCCCCCCCCCCACCAAGAAGTGCCACTGGCACTTCCGGGAATGCTGCCAGCACTTCTAAGCTTGGCGATCGGCTGCTGGGGGGACTTCCCTCACTGCTGCTGACACCATTGCGGCTGCCTGTGGATGGTCCCCACTTGGCCTGCCCTCCGCACTGACACCCATGTCACCACCTGCAGGTGGTCTCCATGCCCCGCCCCAGCCTCAGGAGGCACACGTCGCCTATGGCAGTAACCCTGGAGTTTTTATGAGGCCCCACAGGTGGACCAGTAGAAGGCAATCTCTGTTTTTTCCCATTTGGGAAGAAGCTCCTTAGAAGACCTACCCTTAGGCTTAACTGCTTGGGCTGCTTTGCCAGGTAATTCAGTCACTGCAGAAGAAACAGCCATGCAGGCTATAAACAGATGTCATCAAATAACATAAATCAACTGTTCCAGGACACATCCCGGCACAGCTGATACATTTCATGGGGAGAGATAGCCACT